GTTTTATGCTTGACTTTAACCAACTCTCAATGATACAATCATAAAATAAATTTTTATCTATCTCTGTCTACGACAAAAATCTTACTGTACGATTCTAATCTTAAGAAACAGTCTTATAAAAAAAATTAATCGTTACATTTTTTATTATTATTTAGCGGCAAAATCCAAATTTAAATGTATATTTTAAGCTTTATGTTGTCTAGATTTTTGGAAAGAAATTGCGAGAAATAATTTATGGAGCAAGATATTCAAAACTGTCCTGACAGAGACTGATATAGACTCGTGTATATTTTTGATTTTAGTTAGAAATTGGAAACTCTATTTGATGACGTCGATTACGTCGATCGAAACTATTGACGTATACGTATTTCCATCTACGACTACTTAACAATTATCTTGTGTATGTACATGTACAATGTTATTAATCGCCCGAGCTACTATTTTCACATCGTATCAAGCACGCAAGAACTCTATAGAACTCTACAAAGTACTTTAAAGTTTGTACTTCAATTGCATACCACAACACGATATATTTAAACAACTTAACCAAACAGCTTTTCCAATTAAATAAATAAATGCGTAAGCAATCAACACCGATAGCATTATTGCGGGTATTTGACCAAATTAATCGCAGAGTATGCTTTTGCTATAAAACGTCTATTTTCCGATGCTAAGAATAAATATAAAATGGATATTTCTATAACTGGATAAAACTATTGACCGGAGATAAATTACATATAACTAGTTATCTTTATTCGAGACTTACAATCGCTTTATTATGCTTTATCACGAAATTTTTTATCATATATGACTGATTTCTATCAATTTTCTGTTAAAATTTCTCATTTCTTTCGTTTATTAGTAATTATCATAGATAATTAATTATCAACATTTTTATCTATAATAATTATCAATAACGTGATTATTATCCTTATTTTCATGTTTTATCAGATGGAGAAGAACAGAAAAATTCAATTGATTTTTAAAGACATCTCACATCGAGATTGGATCAAGTTGCGAAATTTAAAAACTAACTAATTCGTTGGTTGCTTCGTTATTATTATTTCGAGACTCATTGTGCCACTTAGGGATGACTACGTCAAGGAATGGCGCGTACATGTGAACAACACGACAAACACACGCTTGGGATTTCGCGGGAGAGCACGCCAACTTCCTAGTTAACTCGACGCAAACCCTGCTTATCTAAAAACCAGACACACACACCTCTCTCTCTCTCTCTTTCTCTCTCTCTCTCTCTCTCTCTCTCTCTCTCTCTCTCTCTCTCTCTCGCGGGTATTACAAACGTCCTTGCGAGATAATTGCAAGCACGATATTTTGCATACGGTCGTCCCACATTTCGAGTAAAATTGCTTTTCCGGATAAGGTCGTTAGCGATCAGGGCATAAGACAACGAGCATAAATCTTTGCACAAGGTATCAATTTTGTTCCAAGGACGACGCGCCGCGAAGATAAAAGAACACGCACGCATTTACCTTATTAGATAATATGATAGAAGGAGAGAAAATGTGTGGCACACATAATATACGATGCGTTTCTTACGACGTGCAAACGATTTACGTTGATGCGAATTTTTAATCTGTTGCGCAAAAATAATGATAATGATGTCAACGTCGGAGTTGAATAGGATATTATTCTATATCGCATTCTGTACGATTTTCGCCAATAGTAGATTGAAAAAAATTGGAGCATAAATGTGACGTGTAAAGACAAAGTATCGATAAAATATATATGTTTTAATTATATACACACATGGAGATTTATAAAAAAATATTTTATACGACTCCATTAAAATTTAGTTGCATATTGTAGAAATGAAAAATATTTCACATGTATCGTTCAATTTTTATTTATGTAAATCACATTCCACAGAACATAATCTTTTTTTAATTAAATCGCTTTTTATCGATTGAAAACATTCGATATTAATAATACAAATACTTACTGTGCGTTTATATCTCATAACTTCTATTATTCGAATATTTTCAGAATTATAATCGATCACTATAACTGATCGGAAAGAGAAAGCAAAATATATCTAACGAAAAGTATTAAAAAGGACATTTGCGTAGGAGTGCTCGACTCGAACCACTCTTCGACACACAGTATCATAATGACAGCAAGTTACAGAAGAGGAGTATTCTCTCTTCTTAAATGACGTTCCAGAAAATGACGACACAACCGATATCGCGGCTCCGAGCTCTATCTGAAATTAAATCTCGGCCGAATATAGTAGCGTGAATGAAAAAAAATAAATAAAAGAAAAACCTATGATACTTTATATCTCATTATCGTCGTTAAAAGTTTTACTCGGTCCTGATCTGCCGTTACGCGAATTCGAATATTCGCTTATTCGAATCGAACTCTGCGAGTCTCTTGCAGTAATGTAATGCGTACGCACGCGGATCGTCGAGAGCCACGTTAACTACATTAGTTTCATTACCAGCGCTACCGGTGTAATCAGCGCATTCACTGATTGCGCGAAATTACCGAAGCGTATTGCGGCCGTGAATGTCTCGAAGTTGTAATTAATAACGTATTACGAACCTCGAGTGTGTTCGCGCATGTACCGATCAACAGCGTTAAAAGGGGATGAATGTGATCCGCGGATTTTTCGATAGATTCTTTTTTTTAGATGATTACGATAATATCAATATAATTCCTCGTTGTGTAATATCACTTCTGTAATGTTGACCCTTTCGGCTTTGCTTGATATTGCATAAAGCGTGCTTTTCATTTTACGTAATTTATAATATATATATAAATATAGACCGTATTCTCTCTCAAACATATATATAATATTTATCAATTTTCCGCGTGTAAAATTGTTCTTTTATAAAATTATCCTCACTTGCTCGAGCAAGTTAATCATTCAACTGTACATTATCATGTCCCATTCGGACCGACATTGATTCCGAAAGGGTTAATAATGTAGATATATTTCTATATATTACAAATCTGCGAATTGTCGTGATTATTGTGACGCGATCCTGAGGGAAGTGCTTCTCTTTGCGATAAACGTATACATATGTTCATGAAAAGGGAGAGATTGGAGAAATAATATAAAGTATCTCTTATACCGTCTTATATATATAAAATCTGACAGATTAATGACCAGAGACAGGTATGTTGATGCGCGCTGCAACGACTTTCTATTTTAATAAGTTTGATGCGAACGAACGAACGACAGATATATACTTGTCAACCGTGGGATACAATGGATTTTTGTCACGCGAATAATAACGAGAAAACGGCTTTGTTTGCTGATTGTAACAAACAGAATTTCACTCGCAATTACATCGACAATGTCTCGTAGAAAATTCTCACAAGAATGTATCAACTTGACAAATCTCGAAAGTCTCGCGACGAAGCGCACTGTCCGATCGCATATAATTTCCCACGACAGTTGTTGCGACGCTCCGTCGTACGTTATTCCAGCTCGATTTGTCGAGTCTCACGAAACGGATCCGCGACGCGAATGCGAAACAGGAGATAACAAAGTGATTACGAACAATTCATTTTGCGCCCGACGCGTGTGACAGTCGTTGACGCGTTCACAATCGATGATCCCGATTCCCGATCGCGACGAAAGTGACAGCGCGCGCGCTGTCAAGCGCCGCCGCGCACGTCAGGACAAACGTCAAATCGCGAGCCGACGACGCGCGCGACATAAAGCATGCGAATATTATTCGCGCGAATATGTACGTCGCCGGAATATTAATTTCTTTCGGCGTCGGGCTATTTTTCCGCCGAGATGCAACTCGCCGCCGCTACCGAAAATGCCTCGAAGGGTGAGACCGAAGCATCCCTCTCGAGACTCGTCGTCCCGTTTGGGACGATGACGCTGCTGTCCGCTCGTATGTAAACTATGCGGCCACGCGAAATTGCATCGCGATGATACAGCGTCGTTCCCCGAGCAAATATTTTGCTCGCGATGTGTATCTCGTACATATATATACGTTACATACGCACGGACACATATTTTAAAAATAAGACAAATCTAGTACTTACGTATATATTATTATTATTATTATGTGGTATAATTAATTAATTCCGTTTAAGCAATCAAAATAAACTAACTCATATTTTGTATGTGGGTTCTTCGCACGGCGAGGAACCGTGGGAGAAACCCGCATTATCGTCATTACTAATATTATTATTATAATAAAGCACACTACGCTCCAAACGTATTATTATTACTGCCGTTATTACTGCGTTTTTTATTATTGTCGTTGTTTTGTTAAAAAAAAAAACGTAGCCTCTCTTTCTTGTTATTAATCTCTGAAAATGTTTTCTTCTGTTGCAGTTGCGTGAATGCGTATGAATGCGTGCGAATGCATCCTAATCTCGTCGCTTAAACTCCCCGACTCATCCTTTCCTTCAAAAAGAAATCCCCTTTGTGTTTTTGCATATTATAAATACACATTGTCGAAGAAAAATGTATGTAAAATCGGTCGAGGATACCGAGAAGAATCGACGAAAACGAAACGTTCGGGAAATCTATCGACGATACCTTAAACAATTTTGAAGCGTTAATTGCTCTCGTATACATCACGGTTGTGATATTTAACGGCATCGATCGTAAAGGTTGAACGATAATAAGTCTGTCAAAGGGTCTCGAACAGCACGCGCATCTACGATTTACGCGGAATCTTTTTTACTTCGTCTTTAGTCATCGTTGGCTTTAGTATCCATGTGACCTTTGATATTCAAGTCGTTTACGGAATTTGTCGCGATTCCTTTGGCCGGGGGATATTTTTATGCCGGGTTTTCATCCATTTGTTTCGCTCGCTTAATTGCCGATTGATCTCGAGTGCGGGTCCCGACAGGTAATAATCGTTCCCGTTCGAAATAATCGCGAGCGAAAGAGAGAGAAAAAAAACGATACGACCTATCGAGCATCTATCGTCTTCTGCTACTCCCGCAGTCGGCTCGATCGCAAAGGACCATTGAAAGTTATCTTACGTCTCTTTTTCTTTCAGGCGTGTCTGGTGGAGAATACCAGCCGCGAAGCGTATTGTGCTTAACGGCACTATTAGAATAGTAGTCTAGTTAGAGCTTAATTATCTTCTAATTGGGTCCCGGGATTCTTCGGAAAATCAGGGATTCTGGAAGGGAAGGACTTTAAACAGCCATGGGGAAGCAAAACAGCAAGTTAAAGCCGGAAGTGCTGGAGGACCTCAAGCAGAATACCGAATTCTCAGGTGCGTTTGTTTTGCACGGATAATTAATAGACTTAACACATTTTCCGTGTGCTATTCAATATTTGTCTTATTTAAAAATATGCATATGAAATCTAAAGTAATAATTAAGTTTTTGCTTCGAGATTAAAGTAAACCTTGCATTAAATATTTTTCTAAAGGTGTGAGAATGTTATACATTTATCTCTCTGACAAGAAGAGTATTTTTGCTTGGAACGCATTGGAAAATTGTTTAAACATTTGTAAATGTGACGTATGCGATATGTAACAAACTCGCCGTGTTAATAAATATTTTAGCTCGCCGATTTACCCGGAAACGTGTGAGTAACGTTGGCCAAGCTCGGTATAAATAATATTTTACGATCCTTTCTTTTCAAGATGCGGAGATTCAGGAGTGGTACAAAGGATTCCTAAAAGACTGTCCCAGCGGCCACCTCAGCGTGGAAGAATTCAAGAAAATATACGGCAACTTCTTTCCTTACGGTGACGCGTCAAAGGTAAATGGAAAAATCTCGCGATAAAAATACACCGTACGTATATAGACGTCGCATATGATCGATAAATTTATTTACATATTGCGTGCCATGTGCGATCTCGCGAAATTATTCAGATTTTATTTTTTTTCTTAATTTATCATAATTTCCTTTCTCTCTCTCTCTCTCTCTCTCTCTCTCTCTCTCTCTCTCTCTCTTTCCCTCGCTCTTTCTCTCTCTTCCTAGTTCGCGGAGCATGTATTCAGGACGTTCGATGCGAACGGCGATGGCACGATCGATTTTCGGGAATTTCTCTGCGCCCTCAGCGTAACGTCCCGCGGCAAGTTGGAGCAGAAGTTAAAGTGGGCCTTCAGCATGTATGACCTGGATGGCAACGGTTACATTTCGCGACAAGAGATGCTCGAGATCGTAACGGTACGTGCCGTTAAAATAAGGGGCTGCGAAGAGTATATTTCAACAATTTACGATATAATAATTTTACTTCTCGCAAGCCTGATACATGTATAGTCAACTATATCATTGCTTCTGCTTTATTAAAAAATGTTATTTTTTTTTCGATTTACGACTCTCTCCAGAACTCTATGTATGTCACACGATCTTCATTGCGTAATTGAAAAAAGATATATTATTCAAAATATAAATTTTTTCTTTCTAAATTTATAAATGATTTAAAAGATTTGAATTATAAGATGTATGTAAAATATATGTAAGATATACATGTACTTGGTAAAAAGATTAGATCTCTATATTTAATCTCTATTGAGAGAAAATTGATTCTACGATATGCAATTGAAAATACTCGATGTGGCATTTACACATTATATTTTATTATAAATTGCACATTACAATCAATAAGGCAATTGCATTTTTTAGAGTTTTTTTTATCACTATAAAATATTATCGATATCGATCAATCATCGTGAAATGTTTTTTCATTGTAAGGAATTTTTTCTTAATGTTGTAAATTTGTTTGTACGTAATTTTGAGGCAACTAATATTCCTCGACATACAACTCTATTCCATTTCACTTTATTGTAACATTGATTTCAGGCGATCTACAAGATGGTGGGCTCCGTGATGAAGATGCCGGAAGACGAGTCGACGCCGGAGAAACGAACTGATAAGATATTCCGACAGATGGATAAGAACAAGGACGGCAAGCTATCGCTTGACGAATTTATAGAGGGTGCGAAGAGCGACCCATCTATTGTGCGACTGTTGCAGTGCGATCCTAGTGCACAAGCTCAGTGAGGCCCTGGGCCAATACAGACAAATATCGATATGCCATCTGCATACCCGAATCGGAGCCCGGCCCAATTGATATCCCAAGCGGAAGCGGCACGATCGTAGAAATTTGTCCTCCAAATTTATTGGTATATCGAGAAACTTGCCGAAACGTTATCTTTATATATGTTTGTTTTTTCTTTTTGATTTTAATCTAATAATTATTACATAAGCTTTTGATTGTAGGACGCTTGGATGCGTATAATTCATTTGTCATGGTTGATTCCAACGAAATAAGTTACTATCCCATGGAAATTGTTTCACTTTGTAAGCATTTTTTATTTGAAAACGATATTAATGCATAAATTATGACTGTTGAATAAGAGAACCATTGTTTTGATAATAGATATTCGATACAGAGAATAATAATGGAAAAAGAAATTTCTCCATTTTATGATTAACAATTAAAACACGATTAACGATATCTTTTAATCGCGCAACGATTATACATTAATATTTGATTTTATTTATTAGATACTTTCCGTCATGTGTGAAATTTTAACGAGTATTTTATTTGAAAGTTGAATGTAAAAAGAACAAATTGCAATCTTTTTTGATTAATACGATCATTCAAATTGATATCTTCCGATGAGTAGTAATGAGTTAGAAAGAATATTTCGTTACTCAAAGATATCGCCTTGGTGGTTTCTCGCGGATATTCTACGATCACGCACATTATGCGCGAGCACAAGTGCGTGCTAGTGAAGGCTTCTATAAATTGGGCCGGTATCCGAGAGGTCCAGGGTCACTGGGCCCATGGCGCTTGCGCATACCGCAAGCTAGTCTACAAGACTAGTCCAGTCGCTCCGTTTCGTTCAAACGGATCGGTTTAGCGAGAAGCTTGTTACGCCTTTTCGGGTCGTATGTGCCACGCTGCGCTCGATCCGCGGAGCCATCCTGAGAAACGCCCGAGAAACAACGCGAGAGGAGGGAAGCCGGTCCGCGTCGCTCGATCAACGCTCGGTCCGACGTTGCGTCGATGCCGTCGTCGAACTTCGCCGGCTGTGCCGGTCGTTGGAAATGATGAGCGGGATTAGCGAAATTCTAAAATACTCTGTGTTCGTAAAATATCCGTGATTATCGGTAGCCGCGGGTGCATGGCAGGCAAAACTCTCCGACGTGCGACAACGTTCGATTTTCTCCAGGGATCGCTCTCTGAAGATCGAACGCGTCGCGTGTCATCGGCAGCAGACTCTTGTACATATGAGCGGGATCGCATCGCGCATCGACGCATCATCGGACTGCCGTTTCAGTAAATTAACAATTGTCTCTCGCGCAGGAAGCTCGCAGCTTCCGACCGCGGTCATGATCGTCCTCTTACGCATCGTCGCGTTGGTATTTAAAATACCAAAGACGCGGACGGACATCCATCCCTTCGATGACACGCGCTGTCGTATCTCCCGCCCTCAACCACGGAGCCTCCCTTTCCCCGAGTATCTCGGCTCATTATTATTACGGACTGACCCATTAAAGGAAAAGACTTACGCTCGCTTGGCGTCCTTCTGCGCGCTGGCAACGAAATTTAGCGATTAGAGATTCGCGATCCCAGGCAAAGATCACTGCGAAATCGAAATCGCGCGCTAGCAAGACGCATTTGCCAGTTACACACATGCACACGCAACATGCTTAGAAACGGATTTAGAGCTTGATCTAGCGGAAGAAAGAAATGTGACCGCGTAACGATTGTCGATTGTCACACGGATACGTCGAAGATGCTGCGAAGAAAATACTCTCGATTCGACGTATCCGTGGGAAGAAGCAGCGATTAGTGTATCGTCCCGTTGCGACGTCTCGATTCGCTCTACAACGTCCTAGCGATCGAGATGTCGCAGAGCTAATCGATCGAATCGCGGAGAGTTTGTCCTTTAACATTACTGTTATATTCATCTCGTCGTCATTTTACCATTTTTAATGATCTTTGTCGTTACGATGGTTAGAATGATTAATTGTAGTCGGATAGAGCATAAAGATTTTCGCCTCTTTCCAATCTCGCTAAAGGAAATGAAACGCATCCTTGCCGATCAGAGCGACTGGCCCTCAGCTTTAGCGAAGGAATCGCGCTTGGCCGAGCGACCGGACGGATAAAGAAGAGGAATCTTCACGCGCGCACGCGTGCCGTATTTAGAGATTTATTTTTGTGAATGCGTGCGTCCTATGTGAGCGTGTAAGAAGTATGCGTATATGTATATCCATTTTGCGTATGCGCGTGCCCCCGTATATAAAGAAGCGAAAGCGATAAAGAGACGGCTCGAGCCGCTCGAGGTGCGAGCCTTATCGCCCCATCGTCCGATAAGTATCGATCGATTGAGATCGCGATAATTATATATACATAAAAAAATATATATACACGTATACACACATATAGATACACTTACATTATACATTATTGATGAAAATTCAGAGTGGCAAGGGATCGCAATCTTCGTCCACGCGAATACACACGCAGCAGCAGAGTTTGACGTTTTATGGTTTATGACGGTTCTCTAGCTATTGCACGATCGGGCAGTCGAGTATGATGAATTACGAAGTAAACACGAGCGCGCACATAAACGATATTTTTCGATGTACGATGGAGAGTGATTTTCGACCGATGACTTATTCGTTGTCCGTCGAGAGAGGATGGATCCTCTTATATATTATTTTCAGTTCGCATTTCTCTCGTGAGAGCTTTTCCCTTCACATCGCGTTTCCTTCTTCCTCCCCTTCCCGTTTATCTCTTACAAACGTATTTGATCGCGTACGATCGCTTTTCCATTCGTGATCGATATCTATTTCGGAGAACACTTTCGTTGCGCTAGGCTGTCTCCCAATGAGACATCCGGTCCGACAATGCAATGTTTTAAAATGTTGCGGTGTATAACGAATGCTAAGAGAGTTTTTGATTTTATTATGTTTGGAGACGTTACGCGCAAGGCAGTATTGTATTTTGCAGAAACGCGTTTCATATACAGAGAGATGCAAATATATAAATATTATATATATATATTAAATATAAATACACACAAACACACACACACACACACAAATCTCTATTATAATATATCGCTATTGTACTTTCTAAGATGTACATCTATTCATCTCGTGCTCATTAATATTTAAGGCTAAAGACTATTTAATGATATCTTTAATCTTTCAGTATATAGTCATTGTATAAACAAATAAATAACCTCATTAGTGTTAATATATACATATAAATATATATATAATACACGTTAAGATTCTAAAATTACTCTTGTGAACTTTTCCGATTATATTAAATGTGGAAAGATTTTATTCTATAACAAGGTGTCGAAAAGAAACGACAATGACGGAGATTTCTGGATTTACAGCAAAACAGAAAATATAGTTGCGTTGATTAAAAAACGAAATCTATATTATAACATATAGCATAGGACTGCCAATACGTTACATTAAATACGCGGCGGCAGTTAATTGTACCTTGGAACAAATCAAGAAAGCAATAAACAATGAGAAAATATCCCGACTAAATTTACACGAAAAAAAATGTTTAAAGTGACATGATTTCAAAATAGCATGAAATGCATTCGATATCGTACAGCTCGATATTTCACAATGCATTCGATCTTTCGTATAATGACGAACATGAAGTGAATAATATCAAAGTTGTGTCGAGGCTTGACGAAACACGAGCGGTAATGAAGCAATCGCGATTGATAATCGTGTGAAGACTATTAAAATTTTCAGAGAATTATTAAAAATTTTCGCTATGAAAAAGTTATCAAATACTATTTCCAATTAACTCGGAATCGTGTCTGTTTGTACACGTCTCTTTGAATTTCATCTCATTTTAATCTACTTTCAATACTTTTTTCTTCAACTACAAAATTAATATTGTTGAAAGAAATCGTATTCGATTATATCAATTTACTAAATTATCAATTTAATTCATTTGTCAACGTAATATAAAAGTCATATAATCATCGCTCTCTTTATAGAAACATAATCAATGTTGACTACTTTTCATCATTATAAATCACTCTGACGCGATGTAATATCGATAAGAATATTGATATATACTTTATGTGAATTTTCCGTTATACACATTATTATTAAAAAAATAAACATATACGTTGCGTTTTAGAATTTAAATTTCTTTTATCATCGATATGAATATGTCTACAGTTTTGCATATTAATTTTATTATCTCGCTATAGAGTAATAAGTTATAATGTGAATTATATATTATAGTCGCCAAAATTGTGCGAAAGACATTAATGCTTATTATGACGTAATTATAATTACATAATTATTACGCAATAATACAACGTGTAAATTATACTTCGCATTCGACACTGCATTATCTAAGAAAATGAAATAGTAGTATTTTACTGAGATATTTTTATAAAAAACACACATAAGAGATGCACATAAATTGCAATAAATCGGGAATTGAAAGATATCGCGAAATGCAGAAAGGGAAATGTGCTTACATTAATCGCATAATTAATATTGTATCCACTCGTGAATGCTCGTGAATGATGAGATAATTTGTTGTCTTAAATTGGGAAAAATATTTATTCGCGAAACATCTTCATTTCCATTCTCAATTGCAATCAATTGAAAATATAAATGCACATTTCAAAGCACAAATGCATATCATATATATTTCTTATTTTAATTTAAAGCAATAAAATTACGTTTTACGCGCAAGCATTCACGAGATATTAAATCTACATCTTCTCTGTTGCGTGAACGCGTGTTGAAGTCGCAAGTGTCAAAAACACCTGTCAAAGGACAACATTTGCTCACTATTTGTTGAATGGTTTATTTTCACGAGTCATATACTTTCGTCTATTAGATTCAATAATATTAAAGCCAAAAAGACATTTAGAGATACGTAAAAAGACGCTTAAAAGATTCTTGAAGAATATATCTAGAAAATAGTGGTTTACTTATTAAAATTAATGAATCGATTCGTCAATTAATTATCTAAAACTATCTCGGTCGATAATTATAATTAACTATATCTATAAATACTGTCGAAGAGACGTCTTTAAATATTTCGATGACAATTTCTAAGACGTTTAATCGATGCTTGGATCGAAGATTAGGATAATTAATTTAATTTGTTAGCTTGTGTTTAAAGTGTTAGTGCGCGTACAAACGAATATTCAAAGTGTATTCTTTCGCTTGATCGATAAATTGCTCTTTTGTATTAAATATACAAGAAGGAACTAGGTTATCGATCAAATTTTAATTTTACGTGATTAATATGTTGTGTATATATAATATTATTTTTAAAATCTGAAAAACGCGTTACATACGAACGGAATCCATTCGCATATCATATCATGCGATATATTTTATTTCTAACATTTACTTAAAATTTATATCAACTATTAAGCGGTTTTCAGTTCCTTCTCATACAATTATATTTAATTATTTATCGCAGATCGAAAAAAGAAACAGCACTGCAGCATTTCCCGATATTAAAAATTAAGAATGCGATATAAATAATGTAAACAAACAGAACACTTTTACAAACGATTTTAGGGACTCATTTTACAGATAAAATAATCATCGAAAGCGCTTTTTGATCAGAGTTCAGCTGCGCGTATTATGCAAGGATTGCGAGAAATATGTGTGGCGTCACTTAAAATTTTTCTTCTTGTAATAATATATAATATATACATTCTCTCTCTTGTTCGTATCGACATAAATAATTTTTATAAGTAAGAGAAAAAGGATTGTGATAGCGCGTTCGCGACGTAATTCTATCTTTGATGGAACCCGTGTCTCGATCATGCTGAAAGTTTCATTTTCGAGATATTCTTGAGAGACCGCCTGTGCATCCTTTGTTCTCTCGGAGAACTTTCTGCCTAATCGCATTCTTTTACGTTCTGACATTCATATCTGTGACACTCGCAAGATATATGCACAAAAGGAATAGATGCACCGGAACCGATAGAAATCAATTGCGAATCTCCTTTTTTTTTGATCTCTATATTTCTTCTCACGAAGCGATCCCTTCTTGGCCGTCGTTTTAAGAAGTTAATACGATAGTTCACGGAAAATTGCACGCGCATATGAGACGCACAAAGAAAAAGATTTTAAGAACAAATATTTATATTATATATACATATA